TCACAGGGAAAGAAAGCAGTTACATAAGAAAACACAAGCATTGGGGTTAGATCTGAGTTTATCCTTTTGTTTGTGATCTTGAGCAAAGCATTTAGCCCTTGGCTTACACTTGTGAAAAATACTATAGATACCTCTCATAGGGCTGTTGTGAAAAATCATGTCAGGTACTGTGTCTAATAAATGCATGCAAAGATTGCTTTATTTGAATTTTTGGTAGTGATTGCATGTATAGGGAAATAACCCTTTAAATCAAGTTTACTGAATATTAAGATAAATGCTTTTTTACCGTGGAAATACGCCTCTGAAGTAGTGACTGAAATGCTCTTGCTTTTAAGCAGAGGATGTGGTTCACAGCATTTAATCAGAGGGGAATGGTTTGAGACTAATTTCAGTGATTTCCATTTACCTGTGAGTCAGAATTCTTTTTTCCCTCGACTTTTAGCATTTGTCAAATAAATGTCATAAAGATAAGGTTTTACTTACCTTGATCTGTTAACTGTAATTCAGACCCCTTTCTCTGACTTTTTTCCCCCAAAGATTTTTTTTTTAAACGTGAAAGACTTTATACTCTACTCTTAATAGATTTGACATGTACCCTTGCAATATGCACCATAAGTGAGGTTACCTGTCCCCATTACCCTCCTCCCACCCTCCTCCCCTCCCTCTCCTCTTCCCTCCTTCATCCTGGGCTATAGTTGTGTTTTATCTTTTGTACGAAAATGTGGGCAATTATATATTGGTTTTATAATAGTACTGAGTACATTGGATACTTTTTCTTCCATTCTTGAGATACTTAGTACTAAGAAGAATACGTCCCAGCTCACCTGAAAAAAAGAAAGAAGATTAAAGAATTTAGTCAGTTTCTGATGGAATTCTTGTTGGGAAGATTTTTAATCTATAACACATAATCACTTTAAAATGTTAAGATTTTGGTGCAATGAATGATAAAGTAAGTTTTCACACTTCCTCCACAGCGGTTTTTTGCACTGATTTTTTTTCTCCCTTTGTTACATAGCAACTCTACAGAAAGAAGCCAGGGTTGGCCGTCACGTTTGCAAAGCTGCCTCAAAATTTGGACAAAAACCGATACAAAGATGTGCTGCCATGTGAGTATCCGACATGGATGCCTTCTTCCCCCCACCCCTACCCCGACACTGAGATAATGTTTCCCTTTTTAAAACAGATTGTCTGGTATCCTGGAACGATTTTCAGTGTGTCTGTAAACACCACGGTCTTTATTGCAGCCGTTTCAGACTCAGAACAGTTGGGGACTAGAGTCTATGCTAATGAGCAAGAGCTGCGCAGGGGGCTGGGAACCCAACTCTTGTTCATTTGGAATGAAAAAAAATAATGCGGAGTAATTGGTGAACTTTTCTCTCCCCCACAGATGACACCACACGGGTATTACTGCAGGGAAGTGAAGATTATATTAATGCGAGTTATGTGAACGTAAGTTGGGACTGTGGGTGCTCAGAACAAGAGCACATTGATCACTGTAACCAGGACCGTGACGGCTGGGTGGTGCTCGGTGGTTCACAGAGTGTCTTCCTGTTCCCTACCTCGTTTCTGTGCTATGACAGCCATGCGAGGGAAGGCAGGGTAGTCTCATTTTACAGAGGAGAAAACCCAGGTTTGGAGAGCTTAAATAATTTCAAAAGTCACAAAGCTCATGGAAGATGGGCCCAAAGCACTAATGCCATCATCCACATGTCTCTGTCCTGGGCTGCTGGCATTTAGGTGTTTGCTTTTGCCAGTGGTGTATGTGTAACTTTCTGTATTTTTCTCCGTGTTATTAGTGTTATCCTGCCTAAAGATTAAAAAAAAAAAAACCTCTCTGTACATAAAAGAAAATGTGAAAGGTTTCACGGGTTGGAGGAAAAGCATTTATTCTGTCTCTGAAAATGCATCTTGGGCAGCTTTCTCGGCCTCTCTAAACTATAGTTTCTTCATCTAAGCCCAGGCCAGCAAACTTTTTGTCTATCTGGCCAGGTAGTAAATACCTGGTCTTTACATTTTGAAATGTAACCACTTAAAAATAGTAGAAACCACTCTTAGCTTACAAGGTGGCAAGCAGATCTGGCCTTTAGGCCATATATAATTTCCCAACCCCAATTTAAGCAGACAGGTGATTCCTCCGTTCTCAGGTCACAGCACAATATCAAGAACTACATGAGGGCCGGCGCAGTGGCTCATGCCTGTAATCCCAGTACTCTGGGAGGCTGAGGTGGATGGAGGGCCTGAGTTCACAGGTTCAAGACCAGCCTGAGCAAGAGCAAAACCCCGTCTCTAAAAATAGTGGGGCGTTGGGTGGCGCCTGTAGCTCAAAGGAATAGGGCGCTGGTCCCATATACTAGAGGTAGTGGGTTCAAGCCCGGCCCCAGCCAAAAACTGCAAAAAAAAAAGTAGTGGGGCTTGGGTGGCGCCTGTGGGTCAAAAGGGTAGGGCACCGGTCCCATATGCCGGAGGTGGCAGGTTCAAACCCAGCCCTGGCCAAGAAAAATAGCAGGGCATTGTGGTGGGCGCCTTATAGTCCCAGTTACTTGGGAGACTGAGGCAAGAGAATCACTTGAGCCCAAGAGTTTGAGGTTGCTGTGAGCTATGACACCACAGCACTCTACCGAGGGCAACAAAATGAGACTGAGAAAAAAAAAAGAACAGCTTAATTTTACTTATTCTAAAACATCTATAGGATTCAGTGGCCCTCACATCAGTGTTCTGGTGTCTTGAAAACAAAAATCAGAGATGGTAAGGACAGCAACATCATGAAGTCCAGTTTTTTCATGTTAGCCCAGGTTTGAGGAAATGAAGCAAATTGGGAATTAGGAGCCTGTGTTTCCCTTGGTGACAGCTTGAGATTCTGTCTCCAAAAAAAGAAAAGGTCCAACTTAATGATGCAGTTATTGGAAGCCACATAGAAAGCAAAATACAAGAAAACTTGATGGTATTAATCTGGTTTATGTTTTAAATAAAAGTAAATCAGTTTGGTACAAAATCCCGCCTAAGGAAGGACTTGCAGGTGGGGAGTGGTATGTACTATTCAAAATGCAGATAGGTAGTATTGATTATATTTAGAATAGGGCAGTGAAGGTCATTTAAACTCTTCTGCTATCCTGTAGGTACACTGCTGATTATTGTCTACTGGGTATTATCCAGTTTTATCTTAAAGATCTAATGCTAGCTTTGTCAAGTATTTTCCAAGGATTTTTAGAATAACTTTTTTGAATTTTCTTAACTGCTGTGAATTGATGGAGAGTCTTTTGGCATGATGTCTGTTAGCAAGTAGAAGAGTTAAAAATCGAGTTCCCTGCTTACGGCAGTGATGCCTTACCAATCTCTTGCCAGATGGAAATTTCTGCTGCTAACCTTGTGAACAAGTACATTGCCGCTCAGGGACCCCTGCCACATACCTGTGCACAGTTTTGGCAAGTCGTCTGGGATCAGAAGTTGTCACTCATTGTCATGTTGACGACGCTCACAGAGCGAGGGCGGGTAAGTGGCTTGATTTCCAATTCAGATGTGTGCAGTGTCACACCGTGTTCTGTGGAACATGAATCTCAGGGCTGGAGAGGGTCTTCGGTGTGTCCTGGTCCAGCCCCTCTGTGACCCTAACTTTCCGGTATAGCGCCCCCTGTGGACACGCCCAGTACTAGGAAGCTCAGCCCTCCTGCCCCTTCATGGCTCAGATCCATCATAACAAGGCAGCAGGTACTCTTCCTGCCTCATCTCACCCACCTCCTGCCAGCTGCAACCTCCCCCACAGGAGGAAAGAGCAGTGTGCATGCCACATTAGTGGTGGCTGTAAAAGTAGGAGACAATGATATATCAGCGGAGACAATGATAGTACCCACTTGGAGGGTTTGTGAAGACCCAGATGATACTCATTGGAAGCTTAGAGAACTGCATGGCACAGGTGTCCCCTGCAAATGGTAACTGCCGTCTTGTGTCATCCTTGTCATCGCCAGTTGGATTCAGCCCTTACATCTGACCTTTCGAGAGCTCTTTTTGGGTATTCCTTATTTCTTTGTGTTGGCTGCCACTCCTGGCTTCTTGGCATTCACGGATTTCATCAGAATCTCTTTGCTTCACATTAGCCACTGATAGAAAAAAATTTTAATTCCTCAAGAGGCAGTAGAAGCTACTTCTAAAAGGCTGTTTGTTAGAGTCATTGAGGGCACACTTTGGGGAGCAGTTGTTAATCCTCGCAGCTCTGCTCTTTTCTCCCGCCGATTCTTCATCTTATCTGCCTAGTTACCATGAGCGGCTGCCGGAGGCTTGGCTGAAATCACAGTGCAACAGGTCCGGGTGTCACATGATCTCTGTCTGGAAGT